TTAGAGACAGAGTTTTCACCATGTTGGTCAGGCTGGTCTCAAACTCCTGACCTCGTGATCTGCCTGCCTCAGCTTCCCAAAGTGCTGGGATTACAGGTGTGAGCCACTGTACCTGGTCTATTCCTTTATTTCTAATACCAACAAGAAAGCAAACTCACACTGCTGTTTTGCACTTTAAGGCATGTAAAAGTGAGTGTATATCATAGTCATTGCTGTACCCCACACCCACATAGTTCTAAACACAGTGGCACATGTTGCCATTGTAAGAGGACTATGGAGCCTTCAAATGTGGCTTTTGTTTAGTTTCCTTCCACTTTCCCCTTCTGTCAAAAGTTTAGTATTTTCATTATGAAAGTGATGCCAGCTCATTAAAATAAGCCAAAGAATATAGACGTGTTTTTGAGTCACCACTTTAAGTCCCTCATTGTCTCTCCCGCCACAATGTAATCACACAATTCATGTCGCTCCTCCATGATTTCTCTTTGCTTCTGCAAATGTATATCCACATATGTGGGAGCTTTGGTTTGTTCCGGCAATAATGACATCATACCTCATGGGTCACTCTAAAAGTTACTTTTGAATAGAGCCATGAAGCATGGACAATTTTCAAGCTAGTGTATGTTGGTCTACCTATGACATCCACAATCCTTTATCCTCCATTCTAAGTGCAATTTTTTCCGCAATTTACTTGGTGATAAGATTTGACCTGAAGCAGCCATTTTTTATTTATTCCATTTGGAATGAATATTCATGTTTTGCTGTAGAAATATTAATGTATTTGATTACATGGTGTTCCTCCAAGCTCCTATTGGGTATTACATAGTATAAAATGTATTATTTAAAATATTATTACATATTATGTGTTAAACACATTATTTTATATTATTACAATACATATTATTTAATATAAATGAATTTTTAAATCTGAAGAAAATTCTGAGTTATGAAAACATATCTGCCCCAAGGATTTCAGATAAGAAGCTGTAGACCTCTGGTTACACAGTATTCTATAGTATGTTTGTATCACACAATGTATCATTTATTCAGCAATTCCCTATTATGAGTACTCAGGTTGTTTCCACTTTTGCTTGCTTAATTGTTTCTCTTGTTATTGCAGAATATGTGACAATAATTACTGAATATATCTTTACATATTAGTGCTTTTATTTTGACTGAATAAATCCCCAGAAGTGGGATTGCTGGGTCCAGGGGTATGCATATTATGTTCCAAAAAGTTATAATTTATGGCACTATAAACAGAATATGAGGATGTGTATTTTTCTGCACATTGCCAGCACTAGTTGTTATCAGTGATTTTATGTCCTGCAAATTACATGGTGAGAAATGTTATCTCACCACAGAGGAGACTCTCTGTTTCCCACGTGATCAGCCTCCTGGAACCTTGGTCAGTTTTCACTGGGAGCACCTTGTCTTTGAGATACATTTGCCCTTTTCTCTCCTATGTGCATTGCAAATATTTTCTCTTAGCCTACTGTTTGTGTTTTGACTTTGTTTACAGTGCCTCTTGCTATAAAGAAGTTTTAAAAATGCAAATAATGTTAATTTTATACTTTTAAGTGTTATTTCTCTTATAATTTTCCAATTTTCAGAAGCCGATTTTACCCCTAAGATTTTACATAGTCTCCTCTTATATTTTCTTACAATACTTACATAATTTACCTTTTATACTGAAGTCTTACAGCCATCTGGAGTATATTTTTGTGTATGGCATGAGATAGCATTCTGATTTCATTTCCTCCAAATGGATCTCCAGTGGTCTCAACAACATTAATTGAAAAACTCACCTTTTCCTAAAAACCTGCAGTATGCCCACTTTATATAAAGTTCCACATACATATGGGTCAGCACAGGGGTTCTCTCTTCTGTCCCACTGACCTGTTGCTTATTGCTGGGGCAGTACTTCACAGATTTAATTATAACAGATTTTAGGGTATTGTAACATTAGGGTGGGCTTACCCTCACTATTATTTCTTTTCAATGTTTCCTTAGTAACTCTCAGATGTTTACTGTTCTGAATGAACTGGAGACAAATTCTCTCCAGGGAAAAATATGTCAGGCCTTCTGGGCTGCAGTGAGGATGGCAGCTTTTACTCCACATGAGAGGGTTTTGATATGATTGGACTCAATTTTGAATACTCTTTCAGCTGCTGTGACTGGATTACAGGGGCAAGGACTAAAGCAGGGAAACTGATGAAGAGGGGAAGAAAATGCAACCCCTGGCTCCTTTAAGCCACTGTTATTTAGGTTTAGTAAGTGTTGCAGAATAAGTGTCATATCTCATCTTAATCCTTCAAGTGCTCCTGAGAGGAGGGTATTACTGCTCTTGTCTTCACTGAAGAATAACCTGAGGCTCCAGTGACTAGTGTTGGGGCCAAGGTCTCAAGGCTGATATGTGCAGAAGCCAGAGTGGGGCTTTCCCCTCGTCCCACCCTCCTCCTATGGAGCTGGGTCGAACAGTCCTGATCTCGTTACTTCCTGGCCTCCAGGATTGTTCTGGAACAGACGTGCTGTTTCCACCCAGGAATTCAGGTACAGTGGACAACAACCTGCATGACTGCAGCAGGATTCCACTTCTGCTTTCCCCTGGCTGTGCTAATTGATGAGCTGTGACTTCTCACTGGGCCTCCTCTAATGGGCGAGTGAAGATGTAGGAAAATGAAAATTAGTGCCCAACAAGATTTACTATGAGTTCCTTCTCAGGAGAATGAAAGTTTACTATAAAATTTGAAAATATGAACTGGCTTACTTTCCATAAACTGAAAACATCTAAAACTCAAAGAGAAGGAGACCAGGATATTGTGTATGACCCATTAATGCAAGTGCTAACGTAGTACTGATAATCTATAACCATGCTCCCGGGTCTGTTTAGGTATCCTGTCCTCCAGACATACATCTCTCCTTTCTTTGAACACATGAAAATTCATCTCATCTCCAAGCCTTTGACACTCCTTGGAATGTTCTTCCCTCTCAACTGCCTGGTAGACTTCCACTAATTCTTCAAAACTGACCCCAAGGCTTACACTATTGACAGACTAGC